AAACCAAAAATTTTAAAACATTTACAACAGTTCCAGAAAAATTAAATACTTTGGTATAAATCTAACAAAACATGTACAGGATCTGTGTCCTGAAAACTACAAAACACTAATGAAACAAAGACCTAAATAAATGGAAACACATATCATGTTCATAGATTGGAAGACTCAACCAAGTAAAAAACAGCAACTCTCCCCAAACTGATCTATTGTTTAATGCAATTCCAAACTACTAGCAGGATGTTTTGAGTTAGAGACAAGCTGATTCTAAACTTTATATGGAAAGGTAAAGGAACCAGAATAGCTGAAACAATTTTGAAAAAGAATTGAAGGAAATCATACCACCCGATTTTAACACACTATAAAGCTACACAAATCATGAAAGTGTGATACTGGCAAAGAGAAAGATACATAAATCAATGGAACAGAAGAAAGGGTCCAAAAATAGACCCATACAAATACAGCCAATTAATTTTTGACAAAGGTGCAAAAACAACTCAATGGAGAAAAGACAATCTTTTCAACAAACAGTGATGGAACAACTGGACATTCATATGCAAAAAAGGAAACCTTCACGTCACACCTTATACAAATATTTCAAAATGGATCACAGATCTAAACGTAAAACTATACCATCTAGAAGAAAACTTTTAGAAGGTGATGGGGCCAGCCCCGTGGCTTAGTGGTTGAGTGTGCCCGCTCCGCTACTGGCGGCCTGGGTTCGGATCCCGGGCGCGCACCGACGCACCGCTTCTCTGGCCATGCTGAGGCCACGTCCCACATGCAGCAACTAGAAGGATGTGCAGCTATGACATACAACTATCTACTGGGGCTTTGGGGGGGGGGGAATAAATAAATAAATTAAATAAATAAACATGTTGCCTTTAAAAAAAAAAAAAAAGGTGAAAATCTTCTTAACCTGGGTTAGGCAGAGTTCTTAGACATGATACCAAAGATCCACAAAAGGAAAAATTGATAAATTAGACTTCTTCAAAATTAAAAACATTTGCTCTGGGAAAGGCACCTGTAAAAGAATGACTGCAAGAAAATATTTGCAAAACACTTATCTAACAAATAACTTGTATCCAGAACATATGAAGAACCCTCAAAACTCAACACAAGAAGGCAAACAACGCAACTAAAAAATGGGCAAAACTCTTGGCCAGATACTGACCAAAGATTAAACATGTCAGATAAGCACATGCAAAGATAGTCAACATCTTTAGCCATGAGATAAAGACACATTAAAGCCACAAGATACCATTACATGCCTATTAGAAGGGCTAAATTTAAAATACTGACAATACGAAGTGCAAGGTAGGATGTGGAGCAACTGGTCTCTCACACCCTGCTGGTGAGAATGTGAAATGATACAGCCACTGTGGAAATCAGTGTGACAGCTTCTTATCAAGTTAGACATACTTTATATGACCCTGCAATCCCACTCCTAGCAATACCCTAGAGAAATGAAAACTTATGTTCCCACAAAAACCTGTACATGAATGTCTACAGCAGCTCTAATCGTAATCACCACAACCTGGAAACAATCCAACTGTCCCTCAGTGGGCGGATGCATAAACAAACTGTGGCACATCCATCTAACGGAATACTGCTCAGCAATAAAAAAAGAAGAAATTGTTGATACATGCAACAACTTGGAGGAATCTCAAAGGCATTATGCTGAGTAAAAGAAGTCAGCATCAAAAGGTTACATATTGTATGATTCCATTTATATGACGTTCTGGAAAAGATCAGTAATTGCCAGCGGTTAGCTAGCGCTAAGAGGAAGGATATAAAAGGATAGCGTGAGTTTCTTGGAGGTGATAGAACTGTTCTATAGGCTGATTGTCCTGGTCGTCACACGAACCTAAAATTCACAGAACTGCACACCCCCCACAAAGTCAATTTTACCATATGATAATTTAAAAAATAATAAAATTTAAAGAAAAAAGTGGAATCAGATTTTAACACCGGCAGTCTGACTTGCGATGATCACCCACCACTCTATAGATCTAAAGAAACATATCAAGACAATTAAGTTCTTAGAAAATAAGCGTAATTCTGAGTACGATAATTAAAAAGCTTGACAGTAACACTTTACATAAATGCTCTTTTCCCCAAATTTAATTTTAAAGATCTTGCCAACCAGTGCAGTCTAATAAATTAGATCAGGAACAGCCTGTACTTCAGTACAGGTAGCATTATATTTATAAAAATTCACCGAAAAACTTCTTGGGCTCAATGAAGTTATCTAGAAGCTGTTAGGAGTTATATAAAACGCAGAGAAGTAAACATCCCTTTTCAGACTCTACTGTCACTTCACTAGATCCTGATGTGAAGTTACCCCTGTGTCACACACACACCCTCAGGTCCCTGTGCCTGGGAGCTGCCGACGGCTCCTCGGATCTCCGAGTAAAGTAATTCCGTGGGAGCCAGAGTCAATGAAATAGTGCTGTCAGGCTCATTCATATTCTAGCGGTCTCCGAGCAAAAAACTAGGGAAGGGTGGGGCCCAGGGTAAGGAGGGGGCCCCGCCGCAGGGAGGAATGGGATCTGAAGGCCAGAGGAGAGCGTGGGACCCTCTTCCCCCTCACACCTAACACGGGCACTGGGCGCCCCTTGTTGGTATCTCGCCGGCCTGGGGGGTCCCCTCCCCATCTGCGGGTTGGGGGAGGCGAGAAGCCGGGCGCTCGCCCCCGCTCCCCCCGCTCCTTCCCGCCCAAGGGGCAATTCCAGGGAGCCAGCCCCAGGGCGAGCGGCCCGCCGGGAGCTGGCAGGGGGCGCGGGCGGGCGCCGCCGCCCACTCCTCCGGCTGGAACTCGGGCTCCGCGCTCGGAGGCGGGGGGC